TTTAAATGGAACACCCTGTATATTATTTTTTTTAGTAGATGGAGAATTAAAAAATGAATATTTTTTGCAAATACTCTAAATGTCAAAATTTTTAACGGTTTCGCAGATATTCCCTGTTTTGTATTTCATATGGCATTTTCCATCTTATCATTTTTCTCTCGTATTTTACTATTAAAAGCGCCATATGAAATAATACTGCGTGTATCCCGAAAACTATTAAACATTTTGAAATACTTTAAATACAAAAAATGTTCATTTTTTATTCTCCATCAAATAGAAAAATAATATACAGGGTGTTTCATTTAAACAAACAAAGAAAAATTATTTTATATTTTTGAAAGTTTATCGTAAAATATTGAACATCCTGTATGATTTACGATTACCATATTTATAGCAAAGTAAGAACAGACTAAACTAGAAAGAAATATCTAATATAGTTTTGATTTCAGAACAGTTTTTGTATTTTTAATATTTTTTTTAAGAAGGGTTGAAAAATATATGTTTTTGATTTATTTTTTAATATCTCTGAAACTATCGAAATAGATTTACTCATATCTTAGGATTATGTAAAGTGATCTGAAAGGAAGCCAAAAATGCAATAATATACAGGGTGTTCCATTTAAAAAAAATCATCCAGATCCACTCACACTTTTTTGAGCCACCCTATAGAAGTTAAAATAGTTTCCGGAAATACATCCTCATACAAACTTTAGGTTTGCACTTAAACAAAATTCCCAAGTTTCTTATCCTAGGGGCTACAGATGCCCGACGCACTATTGCCGGACCCTGTATTATTGTTTAGTTTTGTTTGTTCATTTATTATTGCATTATTTAGTACAGTATTCAATTTCTTATTTTCAGTTAAAATTTGTTGTTAATGTAATGTTATTAAAATATCGATTTATTCATCTGGTGTCCATGGAATTGACATAGTGACTATGAATACTGAAATTCACGCTAGAGATGAAAATTGACATTTGATATATATAGAAATTATAATGAATGTAAAATACTCTGTCAGCCAATATTCGAGAAGTTTCGAAGGGTTCATCCCCTTGCTTCAGTACCGCTAATAGATAGGACGTATTTTTGATTCATGTCATCATAGTGATTACAGATTTGTATTCAAATAATATTCTACCCTCTCAATTCTGTTTGCCAGTCATGACATGTATGATAAATTATGGCAAATGTTCATACAGGAGTTTAGTTCAATTTGTTTGACGTTTATTTTTTGTTTTTTAGTACAAAATTTTAAGCTTTTAATCTTTAAGTTTTTGATTTTTCAATTCTATTCCATACATATTCCAAACTAAAGTAAGTCAAAATACAACTGTGGTCATTTTTAAGAATGTTTGTTTACACTTTTTTGGATTTGAACTATTTTATCTCTGAAAATATCTGAAATTTTAGATATAATTGGTTTATCGGTACATTTTTCTTCGTCATTAAGGGATTTGTTGATTTTCCATTGCCTATTAATCGTGTTTTCTTCGATTGTTATAAAAACTATGGTATATAGGCGGGATAAAGGGAAGAAGATCTTTCATGTGTTGTCTTCTAGAGTGTGTTACGTTACGTCTATTTGAAATGATAAGATTTTTCTTCCTCGTGCAGTTTTATTCAGATCAACAATATGTCAGATATCTAAGAATTTGTAAGACAAACAGCCTAACTTATTGATGTAGTATGTAGTAATAGTGAAAATAATTATAAATTAAACTATACTTTCAGAATCGTTAGAATCAGACCTTTCAGATGGCTGATAATCTGATTCACTTGGTGCAAATGGTTCAGACTTTGTTTCTTTGTCATCCATTTTATGAAAAAAAAAAATTTTTGCCTTTAAAATTTAGCGCGCGTATTAAAATTGCGCACAGTATTGAATTTTATGGACTTGATCCAGTTCACTTCTGAAAGGAATCAACAGAATATTCAGAAACCAAATAAAATAAAAAGAGGCTATAGCTGGGTAAAGCTTGATTTTCATGAATCGGTTATCCGACGATACGATGGTACGATATTAATTTTATTGGTAGAATTTAAAGACTTTGATTGGTTAGAAAATAACGCAGTTTTTAAATTTATTGCATTTTCATGCCTCCGTTTATCGGATATATGCCAAGAACGTACAACTTTGAGAAACATCTCAATGTAGTATTGAGCAATAAAAAGGATTGGAAGAGCGAAACGCTTGCCCAGCAGTGAAAAGACCATACCATAACTTGGTATACTGATGCTTCCAAAACCAATACGGGAACAGGGATCGGAGTGTTTGGGCCGAGAGCTAAATACTCCGAACCAATGGGCACTTACCCTAGTATCCTACAGGCAGAAATCTACGCTATCGAAAGATGCGTACAACTTATCTTAGATAGGAACTATCGGAAACAAGAAATAGCCATCTTGTCTGATAGTCAAGCAGCGTTAAAAGCGATCAACTCAGTATCAATCAATTCGAAATTGGTCAAAGAATGCATAGAGGAGCTGAATAAATTAGGCAAAGAAAACAAAGTCCTCCTACTCTGGGTGCCTGCTCACCAAGCGATAGAAGGCAATGAAAAAGCAAATAATCTAGCTAGGAAAGGAGCGAACACTCCACTAACTGGACCAGAACCGTTCTGCTTTCCAAGTGGTAACCAACTCAAGGCGGAACTCAAGAACTTTGAAGATTCCATCCGCAACCTGGAATGGAAATCTTGCAACGGTCTAAGACACTCGAAGAACTGACTGGGTTTCAGTAAGAACAATCTTCGGATTGTCACGGGGTTTTTAACAGGACACTCTCCTCAATGAACACCTCAGTAGATTGAAACAAAGAAGAAACGGCGAATGCAGATTCTGTGGGGAAGATGGGGAAACACCAGTATACCTCATCACTGAGTGCGCCGAGACGACAATCATTCGTGCCATGAATTTTGGTACGACTGATATTGGAGATGGAGAACTACCCTCTATAAAACCGTCCCAGATACTGGCTTTTGTCAAAGCCCTGGGACTGTATGATGAGTTATGACTCAAGAAAGGGGGACACAATGGATCTGTAAGGTCGCCGTGATCAACTCCCCTCCCACTCATTCTAAATCTTCTAAAAAAAAAATCGGATATACGTTGGTGTTATTTTATATTTTCGTTTCCATAACGATTTTGCTATATTACTTATATTTTTATTATGGTTAGATTATATTTGTCAAAAAAGTGTCAAAACGTCCGTTATCGTATGAACGGGTCCGTTGACGGGCTGAAGTAAAATATTTACGGATGAAAAGTGGCGCGAAAACGCTATGACCAATCAGAGCATCGTCGGACCAACGTATCAACGTATAACGGATGCATGAAAATCAAGCTTTATGCGTGAAGTATGACTTGATTCCATTTCTCTGCTGTAAAAAAAACAATATTTTATAAACGTGTAAATACGATTATCTTAAAATAGTAGGAAATTGGGCTTGATCCATTTTAATTCTGACCACTCCACATAACAAACAGCATCAAAATTGACCTGGAAATGATGATCGCTTAGTTTTTATGTAAGTTTACAATTCGAATGTATACTTGATCTGCTTCCGAGCTAACTTAACGCTGATTTTTTTATAATTATATCATCATCATCATTTTTTTAGCGTATTCAACCAATTATGGTGTATCTAACCAAACCGTTACTCTCTCTCTCTCTCTCTTATTTTGCATTCCAGTGAAAATGTAATTAAATTTGAATTAAATATAATAAACATTATATACAGTGTCCACCATAAAGTTGGATCCATATGGACGTTTTTTTATATTAGAGTTTTAAAAAATATTTTTGTGGCAATCACTTCTGCTTTGAAAACAACTTAAAATGCACCAAACCAAAGTTGACAGCTGACATCTGAGAGCGGTCAAATACAAAGTATTTAAAAGAATTTTTTTTTAAAATTGGTTAAATTATTATTATTTTAAAAAAGTGACTAACAAAATTATGTTTCAACTTTGACTTGGTGCATTTTAAGTTGTTTTTAAAGCAGAATTGTTGTATTTTTCATAGGTATAACGTACGTATTTTCCTCGGTTTTTTCACTGAAATTTCGATATTGAAAAAATTGTTGGTTACAACCGAGGAGCCATTCAGTTATTATTCAATTATTACATTAATTAATATTACATTAATGTTTACTAAGCAATATTAACCAAAATAAATTAGACTTATTTATATTCCCTACTAATTTTTGTACCTAAATCAGCTCAATTTTTCTGTTCTTTATTGATGCACACTTATCAGTAATATCGCCATTTAATTAATTAATTATATTCATTAAAGCCTATTTAAACGAACATTTTCATTAAAATTAAGCTTATAGAGTCTAACGTTTTTTTTTTCTAAAGCATCGGCTATTGTATTTTGATTTTTTTTAATTTCTTACCATTAAGTTGAGTTGTCGTTTGTCGGTTGCTTTGTGCCTTCACGCCTTAGATTGAGACGCAATTGAATTTTCAAGCGAACATCTCTCAATTATTCCAATGTTTTAAATAAAAATCAGGCGGCTTAACCGCCCCAAGAGAGCCCTCTTTTTGTGGTTGACCGGTCAGCGATGCTTCACGGTGAAGTTTTCAATGCATCCCACAAGCCAATTTTTTGTTTAATGTAGTTTTTTATGAAGGTCTCTTGTACCACGTTGATGTCCTGAGGAAGGAATGAATAAATTCCGAAAGCTTGACAATTAACAAAGCGTATTAATTCTATTTTAAACCCTTCCGACTGCAACCCCACTAGTTCCTAGATTTTCTTTCTCACTAGTCAGTCGATACAACTGTCTGCCTATAGTATTTAGTATAATAGCAGTATGCATGTATGTAGTAGTATACATGTAGTAGTATACTCGTAAGAGATAATACCTATAAAGCATAAAGATGGGTAAAAGCTATATTTATTTAACGTGATAAAATACAGAGAGTGTTCTACATGAATCGGAATTTGGTGCCAAAAAAGTATATACCTACATTTTTCTTGTATTTTTCAGATGGCAATTCATTTGGCTAACAGAGGATTTCGAGTGTTCGCTGGACTCAAAAACGGCGCATCATCAGGATCGCCCGAGGATTCCATACCAGCTAAAGTTATAAGGGCTTGGCAAAAACATAGGGAGAGTGTTCAAGGCCTAGGAAATATAGTGGCATTGCCTTTGGATGTCACTAGGGAAGACCTTCTGTACGAGTCAGTGGATATAATCAGGGCACACCTTCCTGCAGGAGAAGATGGTAAGAGGAAAATTGTAGCGAACAAACTTTGGTTGCATATCAATGTTACCTTTCATTTTATGATGAGTTATAAATCGTTATAACTCAAGAAAGGGGAACACACAATAGATCTATAAGGTCGCGGTGATTAACTCCCCTCCTAAACATTCTACATTCTACATTCTACATTTCATGTAGAGAAGGCCAGTGGTGGATACAGGGGGGGCCATGGGGTCCGGGCCCCCCTAAACTCTGTAAATTAGGTTAAATATTAGGCTTTTGGGTTAAAAATGGCGCCCTAAAAGGCATATTTGGCATTATTTTTTATTTGGGCCCCCCTTAAAATAAATTTCTGTATCCGCCCCTGGAGAAGGCTTATTGTACTTTTTAGCCGACCATACCAATAGGTATGGTAGTATTATAAATAAATACAAAATATTTTCATGGTGTCTGTCTGTCCGTCTGTAACACGATAACTCAAAAACCGCTAAACCGAATTTAACCAAATTTGGCACAAAAATACTGTGGCACCCGAGAATCTGGGCATTACTTTTTGGTGGGGGTGGGGGGTTAATAAGCGGGTATGGGAGGGGGTTAAAAATTTAAAAAAAAATCGTAACTCCAAAATTAGAGAAGCTAGCGAAACGCGGTTTTCAATTTAAGATTAGGAATAATATTTGCAACAAAATTTGTAATAACATCAAAATCAGCCAAAGTCGCAGTTTTTGAGATAAAAAAAAATTGGAAAAATTCCTTTACTTTGAAACTAAAAGAACTGCCTACCAACTTTTTATTAACATATTGTCAAGGTGTATTACTGGTTGCATAACTGCATACTGCTAAAAAATCGCAATGTGGAAGGAACCTGGCGCATTCGCCAGAAAGTAAAGAAAATTATAGAATTCTTTAGAAAAATCTAGAAACAACCGCCAGGGGGTATATAAGGCCCGCGCTTTGACAGTTGGACAAGTTTAAAGTTTGAAGTTTAAGTTTAGAAGTTTGAAGTCTAAGTCTGAAGTTTGAAAATACCGCGAAATACCGTTAGAGTAATAGTAGTTGCATAAGTTGTGTTGTAAATAGTATAAGTTGTGTACAGAGTGAAACAAATAAATTCGTTAAGTATTTTATCGTGAGTTTAAATAGTGGACCCACGGAATTCGTAACAATTGGTGTCGGAAGTGCGATTCAAGAGGATTTTAAGAAGAAATTAAGTGGATTGGAAGATTTTTAGACCGAATTAGAGTATTTTTATGGTTGGTACAAGGGAGCAGGCGAAGAAAATGGAGGAAGTAAGCAAATTATTGGGCGATTTTATGGAGAATATGAGAAGAGAAAGGCAGAAGAACAAGAGAGGTTGCGAAAAGAGAAGAAGAGGAACAAGACCATCTACAGAAAATACTTATGGAAAATCAAGAGAAAATGTTAGAAGGTTTAGAAGCCCGTCAAAAGAAAGAGAAACAGGAAGAACAGGACCGGCTTGAAAAATTTTCCAAGATTTGAAAATTCAACGACAACAAGACAAAGAAGAAGAACAGGACCGGCTTGAGAAAATTTTAGGCAATTTAGAAATTCGTCAGAAGAATGAATGGAGGGAAATTTTAGAAGATATAGAAAACGCGCCGCCAGAAAGAAAGACAAGAAGATCAGGGACCGTCTTAAGAAAACTTTAGAAAATCAAGAAATTCGACTTCAGAAAAGCTTGGGGGAACAGCAACAAGCAATGTTGGAAGTACGTTGCCAGGAACAGCAGAACCACTTCCAAGAAGCCGTAGAAGATCTGGAGGAGCGCCTTCAGCAGAAGATAGAAAAGTTGGAGTTGGACCTACAGAAGACCAAGGTACAAGTAAGGACACCTGGCGTTCCGGGAACTGCGAACCTTAAGGCCCCGACCTACGATGGACAAACGACATGGACGATGTACCACCGCCAGTTTGAAGCAGCGGCTGCTGCCAATGGATGGACTGACCAGGAGAAAGCAGCGGCACTTGTCATCGCGCTGCGTGGCCCTGCCTTGGAACTGCTGCAAACTATTCCTGCAGCCCAACAGCAGGAATACCAAACTTTGGTCGCTGCACTGGACAGAAGATATGGCGACCAACATCGACGTCAACTTTACCAGGCCCAGATCAAGACACGCCTGCAGAGGTCCGGAGAGAGTCTGCAGGAATTTGAAGCAGACTTACGTCGGCTGGTACACCTAGCGTATCCTGAGGCACCGGAAGGATTTAGGGAGGAACTCGCTGCTCAGTGCTTTATCAGCGGACTGAGGTACAACGAATTGCAGAGGGCGCTGCAAATATCCCGATTTTCCACCAGCAGCGAAGCACTGGTCAGGGCGCTGGAAATCGAAGCTGCTTTTAGCGCCATCCCTAGACCGAAGATAAGATCGGTAACGGTAGAGGAACAGCCCGAGAGTACCCACAGAAGTTTGGAGGAGATGTGTAGAAAATTCGACAAACTATGTAAGCTACTAATAAACAAGGGAGTCAACAATAACCAGACAGAGAACCAGAGAAGATCCCAGGACATAAGGTGCTATAGATGTGGCAGGAATGGCCACATCAAACGGGATTGCCGCGTTCATGCGATCCCGTTCAGCATCCAGAGAACGTAGGCACCAGGAAAACTAAAATCAGTCAATACTAAGGGGCGAGTATTGACTGGGGAGAACAGAGCCCCCAGGATTTTTTCCATTAGGAGTCTAGGAACAACCGCTGACAGCTTGGTGATCGACGGGAAAGTCAATGGAAAGGGAATTCGAATGACTGTGGATACTGGCGCTATGGTATCGTTGGTGCGGGCTAACTCAGTGCAAGGATTGAAGCTGATGTCTCTGGGAAGAAGAGTGTGTTTACGTACAGTTACGGGGGAAATGGCCGTTGCACGGGGAAAGGCTATCGTCGAACTGAAGTTAGGAAATTTGAAGTTTCAGCATAGCGTCTTAGTGGCAGATATTGAAGATGACTTCATCTTGGGCATGGATATGATTCGTCAACATGGATTTTCGTTCGATCACCAGAGAAATATCTTAAATATTGGATATGAAGAGTTCATGTTATCTCCAGACGAGGGACCAGGCAGAATGGATGTAAGATCAGCGGAAACTGTGGTGATACCTGGTAATACCGAGAAGATCGTATTCGGTAAAGTGGAGAAAATCGCTGGGTGCTGTGTTGGACTGGTAAAAAGTGGCGACAAGAAACAAGATAGGTACTTAGTAGGAAAGTCATTGGTGAACACCGACAAGAATATACCGATCAGAATTGCGAATGTTTTCCCGAATTGTGTCAAGATTCAAAAAGGTGACAAGATAGCCATCTGCGAACCTGTAAGAAGTGTCACCCGATGTGATGAAGTGTCGTCAGCTGTTACACAAATGGCATCCAAAGAAACACTAAAACATCTAGAACAGCCATGGGATCACCTAACATATGAGGAGAAACAGAAGGCTAAGCAGTTCCTGCGAAAGCATGGCGGTATTTTTGAGAAAAATAACAGTGGAAGAACGGATTTTGTGAAGCACCGGATTAATACTGGTCATGCTCAGCCGATTCGACAACGTCCTAGAAGGGTGCTCCTTTCCAAACAACAAGAAATGGAGATAATGGTAGATAAGATGTTAGAAGATGGAGTAATCGAAGAATCATCAAGTCCATGGTCATCTCCTGTTGTTTTGGTGACGAAGAAAGATGGTAGTACACGATTCTGCGTGGATTATAGGAAGCTCAATGACGTCACTAAGAAAGATAGCTACCCACTGCCACGTATAGATGACACATTAACAACTATGGCAGGTTCGTGCTGGTTCTCCACTCTCGACTTAAAGAGTGGATACTGGCAAGTTGGTCTGGACGAGGAAGACAAAGAAAAGACGGCTTTTTCTACAGGAAACGGACTATACCAATTCAAGGTCATGCCGTTTGGATTATGCAATGCTCCAGCCACTTTCGAACGTCTCATGGAGGTGGTGTTAAGAGGATTAACTTGGAAAACGTGCTTGGTTTACCTCGACGATGTATTGGTTATGGGAAGAACTTTTGAGGAGCATTTGCGAAATTTAGAAGAAGTCTTCGGCCGCATAAGGAATGCGCACCTGTACTTGAACCCGAAGAAGTGTAGCTTATTCCAGCGACAAGTGGAATTCTTGGGTCATGTAGTTTCGGCAGACGGAATTTACACCGATCAGAAGAAAATCGCTGCAATCAGGATTGGCCTAAACCTCGCGACAAACATGAACTTAGAAGTTTTCTGGGTTTATGCACCTATTACAGAAGATTTGTCAAGGGATTTGCCAATATAGCTGCACCCTTACATAGACTTACAGGTGATGAAGTCGGCTACGAATGGAACACCGATTGTGATGTAGCCTTTGGAAGACTTAAGGCGGCTTTATGTTCAAGTCCTATTCTAGCCTACCCGCAACAACAAGGGAGGTATATCCTGGATACCGACGCCAGCAATATCGGCATAGGTGCAGTGCTATCACAAGTGCAAGATGGCGAAGAACGAGTGATAGAATATTACAGTCGAGTTCTATCCAAACCAGAAAGGAATTACTGCGTTACCCGGAAGGAGCTGCTAGCAATTGTGAAGGCAGTTGATCATTTTCATAAATATCTGTACGGCCAAGAATTTTTAATTAGGACAGATCATGCGGCTCTCAAGTGGCTTATGGAGATGAAACAACCTGAAGGTCAAATAGCACGATGGCTCGAGAAGCTCCAACAGTATCACTTTACCATCCAACATCGTGCTGGAAAAATGCATGGTAACGCAGACGGTTTATCCAGAAGACCCTGTCAAACCGATTGTAAGCACTGCTGTAAAACGGAACAACGTGAAGGCACTGTCATGATAAGGAGTTTTAAACTTGGAACCGATGAACAGTGGACGACGACACAATTGAGGAAAGATCAAATGGAAGATCCAGACATCGGAGCAATACTACGGCTCAAGGAAGGTAACGGCGAGAGACCACCGTGGCAGGATATTGCGGACAGAGGGCTCGTTTTCAAAGCTCT